TCAATCTAGGGTCGTTTTTAATGCATTTTATCTGAGAGACTTCAGACAGAAACTTGAAAGAAAAATCGACACGGAGGGATTGGAGTCTTTGAGGTGAATTCAAAAAAAAAAAAAGAGTAAATCTCTCGCAAAAGGCAAGAAAAGTCCCTTTTATGAACGCAGGAGATTAAAGGGATAGCGGGAAAGGCTCATCAATGATGACTCACTCTTGAAGCCGACCGCTGTCTTCGGAAAGCTTCTTGTTTGTCGCGCCCGACGCAGACCGTTCTCTGACGGTACCTGCCGAGGGGCTGGCAGACGTGCCGCTGGACGTCGGCGGCAATTCACTAGTGACGTTGGCTGACGATGGCGGGGCCAGCAGTGTCGCAACTGTCGACACAGATTCGTCCATCACACCGGCGCCGTTTTCAGAATGCGTCGAGCCCTTGCGGACGCAAGTGAGCCGGAAAAACGGCGGCCGTTCCATTCGTTCGATGAGGAAATTTAGGGCCTCCACAGTCTGCAGCTCGGCCATCAATTCGTCCACGAGATGCGACGGCCTCGAACGACCCATATACAACACCACTCTTTTCGACTGAAAAAGAAGAAGAAGAAGAAGAAGAAGAAGGGGGGGGGGGTGGAGAAAACGGGGATAATATCATGTATGAAAGGACGGCGATCCAAACAACTCCACAATAAAGGTTACACTTCGGATCACGGGTAAGCTTTCGGTTCATTGAAGATGAATGCACGACCGGTCTTGCTTTCTGAAACGTCTGGAAAGGGTCGGAAATTCCAAAAATTCTTCTTTTCCGATGTGACTGAACCCTGGTTTTCTGTGATACCGTCATTTTTTTTATTTACAGAAAAAAGGTTTAAATTTAAAATTTACTCTAATAAAATTTGAAATCAATTGCTTAGTACAGTATTTGTTTCTGTTTCAAATTTCCATCTGTTAGTTCAATTTAAGCGTTTACTAATACTAATCCAATTCTTTCTTTCTATTTTGCTGAATATGTTTGTGTGTTTCGAGTGCGACACACACATTAAAATGTACAAAATTTGCAAATAAATTATACGCGGCCCCTATTTTTCGATCCCAATTTTCGAGGGATAAGGTGCGAGTGGTGCTTTATTATATACGGTAGCTCACATTCGACAAAAACAATATTTACATAACATTCTTATGATTTAAAAGAATTCCCTTCGTCGGGGACGCTTGGTTCTGAAGTAAAAATGCCCGTTTTCTCTTTGTTTTAAACGTCAGAAATGTAATTATTGATCACAATTACTTCATTCTTTTTCTCCAAAAAATTTCAAGCTACGCATGGATGTAGAACAGCAGCAGAAACAATTGAGTTCGCATTTTTTTTCTTGAACATTAGAAAATGCTGCTTGCAATTCGCCCGTCAATTATTGATGCAAGACGAATAATTATCTGCTACTTATATTTACGAAATCGTAAGTGAGGACCCTCCCACAATCATACACTTTATGAAACTCGAAAGCAATAAACGTCGTCGTTACTTAATTTATAGGTTAGTACGATTCCGTTGGTCGTTAAGCTTTTATCCTGAGCTATGCGTATCACGACCGAGTATTTACAAACATCGCCGATAAACTAAATCGAACAATCGCAGAAAAGTACAGTGCGTTTACTGAATAACACTTTGCATTATTTCTGCACTTCACCGACTCGACTCCCGATGCTTGAACGGAAGTCGCGGGTGAGGTTTGGGCTCCCGAGGGAAGAGGGAATGGGCGATTTTGTTGGGTACTACGGGTGGGCTGAGCACGAAAAGAATGTTTCCTGAAAGTAAACGCTTTCTGATTCATTAATCTTTTCTCTTTCCTTCCAGACATCCGAATTGCTCCATTTTCTTTTCTATCCATGCGACACTGATCCAACCAAGGTTTTACTTTCCATATATATATATAGTGTATATATATATATATATACTGTATATATGTATATACCCCTGGAAATTGACGGAACTCCCTTCTAATTGCCTCACATGCGGAATGCAAAAAAACCCAAAAAGAGGTCGACTCTTTTCTGCGTAAGGCTCGGAGAAAGCATAATACTGTGTGCCAAGAAAATTTGCTGAAGGAAGGCAGCAGAAAAAATCTACTCACAAAAGGGAGCAGCCGATCCGGCGCCATGCCCGTGACGATCAGCAAGTACCGCAAAATCACACGAAGATTATTCGGCCAGCAGGAACACAACGAGGACCAGATGCTTTCCAATTCATCTGGGAAGAGTAGTGGCTTGACTCTTCTCTTTTGTAAAGGGGCTTTAATTTTCTGTTTCTTTTTTACTTGTGTCTTGTTGGCATATCTGATTGTGTGTATCTTTCTAGCTTTAAAGGCTTTGTTATAAAAAAAAAATGTATCGTTCGACAAATTTCAATTTTTTTTTCGAACTGGTGAATCGATTTACGAGACGTTCAAGATTTCAACACGCAATTAGACGTTCATTCGTGGGGAAAGTCAGAAGCACGGTAAACTTTACATGCGGTACATTTTAAACAACAGATTTAATAAGAAAATCACGAAAGAAATAATTTCAAAAATTGCGGCATAATGGGAAATTCAAACAAGGTCAAGTTTGCCACTCACCTCAGCAGTAATGTAGAACAAATTGTTCAAAACCATCTCTGTCGCCTCCACGGATCCCATTCCATCTCTGCAAGTGCCCATTCTCGCCGGGGAGTTGTCCGAATTATACTGCAAAGATCCGTGGGTTGACAATTATAATCATTTCAAGAATTGGAGCATGTCCTCCGCGTAAGGACGACATTCAGCAATATCAAAACAACACGCAAAATAAAAAATAATCCCCACCCCTACACACAAACAAGTTAAATAGTACTTTCAACCTGCATAACACCTACTCCAGATGTCTGACATTTGATCATAATCATGTCGACCTTCCTTCCTATCATGCACTCACCAGAAAGTGCCTTCTCCGAATTTTACAAGGACTGTCCATCAATGAATCCGATTCATTTTCTAATGAATCCTTGGAAATCGTGTACATTATTGTAAATTGAAAATGACGGCGAGTGATTGAAGTATTAATACGGGGATATTCTACCGTCTTTCAGCGTTTGATTCTTCGTGAACAAGGCGCTACTATGTGCATATTTCTAAATACTGTACATGAATTGAGCTAAAACCAATTGAAAGATAGATTTAGTGAAAGACTTCTGTCTGAAAAAGTGGATCATTAAAGGCTTTTTGAGACATTACGGTAAATTAATGTGTACTTAATTCAATTTCAATACGAATTCGTGAAAAGTTTGAGCCCCCAGGCCATGGACGGTCCTCGCAAAGATGGTTCGTGAAAACTGGCAAAGCTTGGAAGTAATACAGTAATGCACAAGAAAATGCGGAGAAGTCCTGATTTAATAGACGGAGCGGTACGATGAAGAAATCTTTCGAACTACGCAGGAGATTCAAGACAGCCTTTTCGTTGGTCCTTGTTCAAAGAAAGAAAAACTTTCTCTTTATTCCGTCCTTCCAAAAATCTCATTGCGTCGAAAAGGCGTTTCCACTCTCCCAATTGAAATTGCATTCAATGCGTGCGTGAAAACCATGCGAGAGATAGAGAGGAAATATACCAGTGAGATTGTGCAAAGGGCCCTGCACTACCCTACGCAATTTAGGAACCCCCTCCAGGGAACCGGGGAAACAAGGTTTGGCTTTCAAACCTGAATGTCGTCCAAGGGATTGGCAGGAGGAACGTGTCTGTCAATCAGCTCCATGTTGCTCAGCCAGGGCAGCAAATAAGACAACAATAATTGACGAACCGGTGGACGGGCACTCTTGAACCGATACGTTATCTCTGAAATCATGAGAGAGAATCAAATAACGAAGAAAGGGATCACTGTAAAGTCAAAACAACAGTTCCTTCACATCGAAATTTGGTTATTTTCAACATATTTATCAATTAAAGAATCCATCTGTTGCGGGGTTTCTGAGCAAACGATGGAGAAATAGATGCCATGCATTTGAAGTGAGACCCTAATATGCGGACACACGGACAATTCGATTTAGGAACACTTGAAAACAAAATAGCAGGCTCGACATCTGGAAATTGGCTCGAGTTAGGGACACTTTTCTGAAATTTTCCTAAAAAAAAGGAACAATAAAACATTTGATATCTTTTGAACAAATCAAGCTAATCATATTCAAAAGAATTTAAAAAATATTTCATGATAAATTCACTCTAATTCATAATCAGAAGCAAGCTGATTTTGTGCTTCTTAATTCAGAGTTTTTTTTCTATCATCTGTGCATATTCTAGCAAGACTTACTCTTTTTCTTTGCTTTTTGATCTCCTTTGGATACCAAATGATCAGATTATATGTGGATTTTTCTGTACTGTTGTTTTCTACAACTTGAAGTTGCGGGAAACAATTTGTATAAAAATTTTTTTAGAACTTATTTCTAATTTTTGACAAAATGGAGAACCAATTAAATACATTAACATTGAAGTCTAAGGTAAACTTAGACTCAACTTAGGGACTTTCTGGCATCAGGACACTCTTGAAGCATCAATTACGTCCGCATCTCGGGGTCTCACTTGTACAATATGCATGTGCGCTGGATTCATAATTAAATATAAAAATATATTGTGAAGGTTATAAACAAAGTATTTCAGCTTCAATTTCATATTTAAGCTGCGAATATACCTAAATACACTTAAGTACAAGCTGCGAGTGAAACAGCGGTATAATTTATTATACGAAATCGAATTTTGAATGCTCTTTATCAAGGAAGTTGAAATTCGACAAATATAAGATCTAATGAAATTTGAACACAAAAAGACTGAGGACAAAAGCAATTGAAGTAATTTGACCGCAAGGTGGATGTCAGATAATCTGGGCATAATTACCTGGTCCTTTCCTTGTAATACTGTCCCTACTTCATTGCATAAAATATTTGAAATGCTATTAAAGCGGATTGAAAAAAAAGACAGCTCAAAGAATGATTTGACATACTCTTACGAAAATTGTCGCACGCCTGGAAGTGCGTTTTTCAATCGATCAAAGACGAATACTGTACAGCGGATCAAAGTAAAATCGCCGGGTAATCAAGCCGTTGTCTATACTTTCAGGCATTCAAAATTCGGGCACGGTTCGGTTAACATCGTGCCCGATCAATCCCATCCCAGAAAATATAAGTTTTACAATACCGTATGAAGGAAGAAAAACAAAGCTCAAGATTATTATTCGAAAACTACAAGTGGTTCAACAAGGGAAGAGCTGATAATTAACGCTTTGTACTTCTCGACAAAGAGCCCACGCTTGAGGTTTCTTTCAATTTGAACAAGATCTCCCCCCACGCACAATGGCCATCCATTAGTAAATGAAGGTCAACTTGGATCATATTCCTAAAAATTACGTAAAGAAAAAATATGGTGCTTGAAGTAAGCGAATTGAAAACGTAACATGGATGGAAAACTCACCACTGAAGATGGGCATCGTTAGTTCGGGATGCAGGTAAGCCAATTGTCTCGACAAGTGTATCTGCGAACGACAGTAAACACTAGTCGACAAGGTCTCATCCAACGTTCTCGGCACGCCATGACGTAAACCTGAGGAACACATTTTTCATCAAAAAACGGCAATTTTCCCACACATTCTCATCTTAAAAATTCAACATCATGTGTACGAGAATTTAAAAAACGGAATCCATTCAGAAATTTTCCTCGATGATTTTGATGAATGTCTGAACTGATATTTAATCGTATAGATTATTGTTCGGTGTACTTTCGGCAGTCTAGGTGGTGGCGCCCACTTTTCCCCTTTTTCAAGATAAAACATCAGAAGGCATGCGTTTCTTCCTTTTTTTAATACAACAACCAACAAGCAAATTTCAAGAATTGGATACTGGTTCAGCGTGTTGAAAAAAACAAACACGACACCACGAAAAAAAAAAAAAAAAAAAAAAANTTTTAGCGAAGAAAAAACACGATCACACATTTCACGCATAAGAAAATAATTGGGAGGTGCACCAGATTATTTATTGCCAGGCTTTCCTTCCACAATGGTAAACATTCCCAGAACCAGTAAGGGCGAAGTCAAGCAGCAAATTGAAGCGATATAATTCAATTTCGTGATTTTGTCAATCCCCAGGCCTCACTCAAATTCCAAAACTTCCATAGATAGAAAAATTATAATACAGCAACTAATACAAGATTGATTTCGTTCAGCATTGGAAAAAGCACTGACTTCAGAGGGGTCAACTTTTGATACTGAAAATCCCAAACAAGAACAGAAAATGCGTCCAATCAAAGATCGACATCAAGAGAGGAATTTATTTCTTTTTTCCCCCTGATCTAGTCAAGTAAATGCCCGGAATCCGAACCTGCAGCGGAAAAACGATGCCGTTGAGTCGTTGTCATTGATCCATTGAAGAGAAAAAATGGGGTTTTCATACGACCACCCGCCAGAGATCCACAAAAGCCGAAAGAGGAATAACCTCAGTTCGGAATCCTGTACTATACATTCACACGACTTATGTTACACGCATCTTCTTCCAGATTTAGACCATAGTTGGAGGGACTTCTCAATCGCGCATCAGCGCGTGCAGATCCATCATAATTCCGAGTTTGTGTCCGAATGGAAAGCAACTCGAGGCGTACACATTATCTCGAGAAAATAAGTACCTGTATACCCTATATGGAAAAAGGCCAGTTTGTAAGTAAATGTGACACAGAGGACAGTATTCATTCGCTCCTGTTGCTCGCGAAACATCTACGTTTTTCTTTAGCATTCTTAAAACTTGATATGACACTTGAGTCAAATGAACTCGGGGCATGAAAAAAAAACCTTAAATAAAATGAAAATGACGAAACGAGCTTTTACGACTGCAAAAAATGCCAATCAACATTTTCTGGACTGAAAAAGGATAAATTTTTTTGCACGTGGGACTTTCAAAAATGCGATGAGATATTCCAAGAAAAAAATTAGCTAGGATAAGCTCACGGCAAAATTATTGAAGTCATTGAGTACGCACTGAAGAAAGTTTCGTACGAAGACAAAATATAACTGAAGGATGCATTAGGTTATTTTCTTTTGAAGCAAAGCAAATCGTCGTAAATGCAAGATAAAGTCATTGCGTTTTTTTTATTACAGTGGAATCTCAATCATCCACGCTAATGATCACATTAAATGTTCCGAACCAAAAAATATCCGTGAAAAAAAAATTTGTCTACTACGACCTACTCCAATTCTTCCAGATTTTGATAAGCAATACGCTTTCTAGACACCATACGATTCTGAAGATTACTAATATTGCGAAATCACGGAAAAATCTGTTGATGCCCACGCCTACAAGGGTTTCCGTTGGGTACACAATCCCGGTCGAAAATACGGGTACAGTATATCACATCAGGAATAATGAAGTTGCCCGTTCAACAAGCTTAGTTTTTTCGGTCTGGTGAAGAATGAATCACCGAACACAATTTAAAATTTTTATTCGGAGATCAATTCTTGTGCAACGACACTAAAATGATAAATTTGTCCTGGCAATCCATTCATCCTCGAGCAAACCATGAAAATAGGGATGAAGCTACGGCACATGTAGCTGCCCCGGAAAACGTCAACTCTGAACGAAACCAGACAAAATCCTTCTGCCGTGAACAAAACCAGACGAACAAAGTCTGCTGCACTGCTACAAGCTTATCAATCAACAAATGCATCATCTC